ATTAGATGTGTAGATTGCAAATGATACTTTTGTTGATACGGTGCAATACTACATAACTTAAAAACTTCAAATTACGAAAGCGATGGAATAAAAAAAAAAGCAATTATTAGTTCAAGTAGTAACTTAAAAACTTTTAGAAAGATTTTTGTAAGTGGTAGGGAAAGAAAAATTAATTAATTTCAGGCAGAAATTTGAATGTTTTAAGACGAAAAACAATAAAATATTTATGTTGTAACAAAAAATATTTGAACAATAAAATTGTTGTGTCGTTGTAGGTATTGTTTTTACAGTGAAAAATACCAGGGGGACTGATCCGCGTACTAAAATGCAAATGCGGAGTTGAAATTTGGCACGAAAAATAAAAAATATTCTCATTCGTTAATTTAACGATATTTTTTTTTCGGAATCCCAATTTGTTCGAAAGTTTTCGGAATTTTAAGTTATTTTATTTTTTATTTTGCTTTCAATATGGAATATTTATCCATTGTTGTAGAAATATTTATATTTCTCTTTCGAGATGTTTATGTTATAAGCTCATGTTTGAGTTATGTCAAAAGTAAAGATTATGTCAAAAGTAAAAAAAAAGATTAGAAGTTACCTGACATAAATCTTAAAATTTTTATCAGCGTTTTTAAAAGCATAAAAGACTCAAGATATATAAACTGTTTCCCGTTATATAATAAAATAATTTGAACTTGTATATATTAAAAGATTATCATTATATATTGTTTAAAATAACTTCTCATTTATTGTTCACAAATGTGTCACATTCTATATTCCTAAACATTTTTTTCCAGCACAGTTGATTATTTTTCAAATACAAGTAATGTTCATTTCACTAAGATTGACATCTTAACAAAAATTCTCGTTCATAAATTATAATAATTATATAAAACAAAATGTTTTTTTCAAAAAAATTATTGACTTTTAAGCTAAAACGAAAATCAAAGATGAATGAGAAGCAACTACATACTAAGGTTAGAGAGTGTATCAACCTATTATTTTGATAAAATTTTTGTAAAAATAAGTAAAAAATTTCCTTATGCTACGCTTATTTGTTCGATATAAATAAAAGGAAACCTGAAAATAGCGTGTTTTCAATTTGTAGTTTACGATAGTGATAGCAGTAGCACTGAAAATTAGTTCATTAGGGTGAAACAAATTGTTTTATTATTTTTATTTACTCTCTCAGCTCGAAGTAAAATATAAAGTTTTAACGAGATAAAAAGTTCAGAAACAATTTTTGTTTTGATTGATATTTGTTAGTAATTTAATGGTTTGATTGCCATCATTATGACCGCTAAGCGTCATCGAAGTTTTTTATTCCTTGTTCCTCAAAGCTTTTGTTTCTTATTAAAACTTCCTATTAAAAACTCTTTCCTGGTGCTCCTACAATTACGCTCCTTAAAGCTGACAGAAAATCGAATGAAATTAACAATCGAGGTTTTAATGAATTACTAAATTTTATGAGATTGTATTATTGGATAATAAATGTGAGCATGTGCCTATGAAAAGTTCTTGCATCCACAATTCGATTGGACCGATAACCATATTTTAAAATCAGCCAGCTGCATGCAGTTGTTATGGAATGTCTGAGAGATAAAATAAATTATGAATGTTTTCAAAGGCTCTTTTATTCGAAATAATTCCTTTTGAGCCTGAACTCTTTGACGTAGACATTTTATGGAACATATTTTCCATACTTCTCTTATTATTTTGAATTAATTTAGGTCAAAATAACCGAAAAATATTTAATTTAGAATTTTAATAATTTATGAAATGCACCGGCGTCTTTGCTTTAAAGTAAACTTAACAAAACACGGCTCCCTTTCAGACAATATTTTTCGAATTTGCACTTTATTTAGATCTAAGAGAAACAGTTATTAATGATTGGAATTTCTTTAATTTTTAAAATCAATTATTGATAAATTTTTGAATGTGAACGAGAAAAATGTTTTTCTAACTATTTATTATTTTTGATTTTATGTATTAGTTCAAATATAATTCCGATACTCTAACAAATTTTTTTAGTAACTATTAGACTGTTTCTTATAATTAAAAAATAACAATATAAAGATATTTTTGCTTATAATTTGAGCGATGGAAAGAATTTTTTTTTTAAGAATTAAAAAAATATATATATATTTTCGCTTGTAATTTGAGCCACAAAAAGAAACATTAAACACGCACCGGTGTCTCATTTTAGTAAAGGGCTAAGGTTTCCAGTATCGCCTGTTAATAAACCACTCCTGACCATAAGTATTTGCAAACTGCGTCTTAAAAAACGCTAACCTAATGGACGCACACAAAACCTTGAGTTACTCGAATACGTAACGGTTACATATAATTTTATGTTATACAAATATTTGTATATGAATTGGATATTACTGAAGTTCAGAAGGTGTTAATCATTACCTAGCTAAGCTGCTGAATGAAACTAGGTTATTACGGTAATGTGCCCATTAACGGTTTCCTCATCGTTAAAGTTCAAAAGTTTGATTCTCTTATTCTGATTTAATTATTTTGACTTTATTCTTCAGATATCAAAAAACAAGTAAATGACATGTTTATTTCATCAATTGCAATAATACTTTAAATCTTTTGATTGGTTGTATCATATTTTCTCAAGTAATTGACGATTGATTCGATTATCCAAAGTGTTGATTGCTCGATTGTAGCCATTTGGTTTTTTAAACAGCGAAAAATAAATAAAATTTTGCTGATTGCGTACAGTAACGTTGCGGTTGTTCCTAAAAAGACCTTATTTTCACTTTAACAAGTGCTTAATAGACAATTTGCAGATTGCCTGGCAAATGATGTGAAGATTATTTAGGTAGTTTTATAATTTTATAATCGTCGTTGAACAGCCGACCCAATGTTCGGGTTTACTACTTCTATTGTTCAACTCGGTAGCCTTGTCATTTTGAACCCAATCCAGAAGATAAGGGTACTCCTGGATCAAGTATTGGGATAAATTTGCCTTCGTGGAGGACTTTTTGATGGAACTAACCCGCATTTGCGTTACTTGGAGAGGAAGACCACGAGAACCTCCCACGGTTAGTCTGATGGCAAGGGGACTCTAACCCATGATCCGTCGCTGATTCGAAAACTGTTCACCTGCACATTGCGTAGATAATTTGTAGAATAATTGATTTCATAACTATACAGATAACACATTTATTTTATAGGAAAATATCTTGAAAACAGGAATCTCACATAAAAGGATGCTGAAAGGAATGCCAATTTTAAAAAAATGAAAATTGTATAATATTGAGTTTTCAGAATATTTAATTCTTCAAAATATAATTTTATTAAAAAAAAGGGAGATTTAACATAGAGTCATCTATTTTTAACCGTATTGCTAAAAAAACTACGCGTTGTAATAAGAGTAGAATTCAGCCGTCAAACTTGTTAAATTAGTAAGAAGTTGACCGCAAAATTTTGATTCATCAAATGAGTAAATTATGAGCATTATATACATTAAAGAATTTATAAAAGAATGCTCATTCTAACATCAGGTTTAATACCTTTAAAAACACTTTTTTGCATTCAATTCAAAATTAAATACTCTTTTATTTTATCTAAAATGTTTATTTCTGAACTTTTAAAATTTCCAAATTTCTCTTCAAAAACCTTAATTTGGTTTCCTTTAATATTAACTAAATTTCTGCTTTATGTTCGGAAGTAATTACCAATAAGAACTCGTTATCTTATAATCAATCACCTTGTATGTTTAGAAATCTTAGAAATAATCTGCGGGGAAGAAAAACAATTCTTGCTCATTTTCTCATAGGTAAATTTTTGTCAGCACTTTAACTTAAAAAATAGCTCAATCTAATTCACTGATTATTTAAACGTACCTTTTAATAATTTTTTTTTTTTGGATCACATAGTATTGTTTATACTTTTATTTCTTATAATTATTGGTAGAGAATGTATATCATTCCCGCACTTTTATTATGTTCAAGTTTCGAATTTTCAAAAATTAATAGTAATCCTCATTTATTTTCGCTAATTGTAATAATTTTTGCTTACACTTTTAAGCTTGAAAATAACTAAATGTAGTACAATAGTTTTGATTTTTTGAGATCGCACAGTATTATTTCTTACTTTCATCTCTATTTTTTTTACTGTGAATATTTTTTTTTTCAAAAATGTTTCAACAATTAATATTTAACTACTTGACTATGTGTAGCGAATTTTTTGTTCTTTTAAAAACTTATACGTGAAAAACTAATGAATTTGATTTTTAAATTGTGTTGTATTTATTCGTATTTTAAGTACATACAAACACCCAGTTAAGTTTTATATACCTTTTAAAATACTTACATTTATGTGCACACGTAGAATTGAATTGAATGATTAGTTTAATTTCTTAAGGACCGGATGCAGCTGTACTGCACCAAACTCAAGGAATGTAAAAATTGTAGTCATTAGTTAATTTGTGCAAATAATCAAATTAATCTTAAATTTAAAAAAAAAATTGAGAAACTTTGTGTGATGGAAAAACAAAAAGAAAATTAAAAGTAAATCTTATCATACGCTAATTTATATAAAAAATGCAAACCTTTTCATATTTACTTCCGTTTACTTCGTAACATTGCCAATAAAAAGCTCACGCACTTTTTGGTGTGTTTAGCACATAAATTTATTAAAAACAATTTTTTATAAACATTGCTTTAAGCCTTTCAAGCTAAAAACAGTATTGAAACTTGCTAACTTTTCAGTTCATAAGCAAAATTAATTTCAAAGTATTAATTTAAACAGAGCAATATATACTCATAGGCTATAACATAAATAATATCAGACACTAGGTTAATTTATTTTGATTTATTTATAAATGAAATATTTTTAAACTTATTTAGGTTGTTGATGAAATTCATATCGAAAGTTCATAATAAGAAAATAGTTACGCATTATAATTAACAAGCATGATTTCTCAAAATAATTTTGTCACAAAACATAATATAAAAGCATAATAACAGTTTAGTTTCACTTACCGTTTTTTTTTATTGAAAACTCTAAAAACGCTAGAACTTACAAAAATTCAAACGTAATGCTACACGAGTCAGGGGCATTGAATTGTTTAATAGATGCACTTCCGGTGTCTCAATTTCATCGATTTGAAACCCTTTACAACGCAAGTTGTAAAGTATCGGAAGTAGAATCGATACTCGATTAGATAATACCTTTCCAAACTTCTGAAATCTGTATTACGTAATAGATTTCCCTGGTCGCACGGTTTTGCCGATCCTTTGAAAGCTCGGCTGAGTGGAGGTAGCGGGTTCGAAACCCACCGCATAACTGGCAGTATCTTTGTGATGTCTTTCTCTAATTAATGCTATCGGTTCTTCTGTTTGCCAAGAACTTATAAGCCGTGCTTTGTATTTCTACCCAAGCCTATATATGAAATAATATAGTCCCGCAGTGGTCTGATAGTAAAGACACGGTTCCCAATAGAACACCGAAATCACTGGCTGCGGTCAATAAGCAGGTGGATGACCACTTTGATCAGCCTGCGTAGGGGGACCAAGGGTGCGTGGTATCGATCCTCGTTAAACTGTTCTACAGTAAAATGTTCGACTTCGCGCACAGGTCGTCGAGCTACCAAAGGAGGGGAGCCATCCCTTCTACAGAGGCTCAAAATTGCGATTTCATGTCTTCGGATCATCCTCCGGGATGTTTCGCAGGCCGTTGCCAATTGCCCATTGTGCAGCGCTAGTGCGACGTAAATTAACAACAACAACAACAACGTCGCACTAGCGCTGCACAATGGGCAATTGGCAACGGTCTGCGAAACATCCCGGAGGATGATCCGAAGACATTAAATCGCAATTTTGAGCCTCTGCGGAGGGGATGGCACCCCCGCTTCGGTAGCCCGACGACCTGCGCGCGAAGTCGAGCACTTTACGGTAGCACAGTTTAACGAGGACCAATACCGCACACCCTCGGTCCCTACGCAGACTGAGCTAGTGCGACGTTAATAAAGTACCTACCTACCATATGTAACAATAAATAATCAAGAAATATTCCGCATTGAAGTTCTAAATTAAGGACTAGTATGTTTTTTTTAAAAAAAATTTTTAAACGTTTTTGTAAGTGCTTATGTTCATGAATGAGTTAGGGATTAAACCTGAAACCGTCTTCGTCAGAGTACGTGATTTCAGACTTAACACCATCTTGACTTTATTCTCAATCAGTCATTCATGAATTGTTCATTCATAACTGCAGGATTGTGCGCTCCATACAAAAAACGGTTCTCAAGCTCATGTCAAATTGAAAAAGTGGCCACCCTTGATGAGTGATCTCAATGTTCCGCTAAAAGCTTTACAGCATGAAGGTAGTGGGTTCAAATCTCATCGCAACCCTGTTTCTATCTATCTTTCGCCTACGTGTGCTACCTATTCTTCAATTTACCTATAAGCCGTACTTTACTGATTACACAAGCCTGTATATTTTTTATAAGAATAAATAAATAGATTGAAGATATCTATTAATAATATTAATTGTGTTCAAATATAGAAATTATTAATTAATTAATAATAATTATGTTTGAAAATTACTGTAGAACATAAAAAAATAAGAAATGCAATCCAGTGCTGAGGTGAGAATCTATTATGCACCCCCCTCAGGGACAGCGGAACCGGGGGTGGGGAGAGGGGCATATCCCTCTCACATTTTATAGATTATGTGACTACGATTACAATTTTTCACCCAATATTTCTGTAATGAAATTTACAATTAAATAAAAACACATAATTTTATTGTGTCTAAATTTGAAAATATAAATAAATAAACGTCTCTATTTCGAGCGAGGTTTAACATTTTCTTGGTGAAAACTGCCATTTAATTATCCCGTACTATCGCCCCCCCCCCGTAGAGGAAATATACATTCCTATTACTGATCGATGGGAAGATTCTTGGTTTTAAATGTCACGGCAAAACAGAATATTAAAAATAAAAAAAAATAAAAAAACAGCGAAACAGAATATTAAAAATAAAAAAAAATAAAAAAACAGCGAAACAGAATAGAAAAAAAATACTGGATTCATCTTTATTACTTAACGGTACAGACTTGTGTGCTCAATTAAGGCTTCTAAAGCTTTGTCAAGTAGAAGGACAAATTACGGAGAAGGTAAGTACGAAGGTACATCCAGGGTAAAAGAGGGATACGAACCCGCTACTTACACGTGGGCGATACTGCTTGGCCAGGCACGCCCCGACGCCTCTTTGTATTTATTTATTGTTTCTCATGCAGATGCAAGCTTGCGTGCTCATTACAAAGCACGGCTAATAAGCCTTTATCAAGTAAAAGACCAAATAGCACAAATTAAAGAAGGACATCAAAAAGACGCATTCAGGGTTACTGTGGAATTCGAACTCAATATCTTCAGATAGCACAGGGATGATTTGGACGATCAGTATCGCCGTCCAGGCGCTCTGTAGTGTCGAGGTAGCGGGTTCAAATCCCACAGTAACCTTGGATGAATCTTCATTCTGTCCTTTGAATTGTACTATATGTCTTAATAGCCTAGAGGACAAAGGCTTATAAGCCATACATATATAATTGAGCACTCAAGCCTGCATGCATGTGTACCAGTAAATAAATAAATAAATTTATGCCTGTCTTTTTCTGTTTGGCAAGGCTTCTTTGTGTAGGGGACAAAACTCCGCATAAGTATATATGAATGAATAATTTAAATTGTATAGATGTGCACAAGTCATCCATGGTGTATATTAATAAAAAGAGATAACTAATTGTGACATTGAGTCACCGAATTCTCAATATTCTGTTGGGATTGTGACCTAAAAATTAGGCCGACCCCCTGACCTCTCTCCTGTGACGCCTCACTGTCTGTCGACCTTCACGCCTGTGACCTTCGGCAGCCTTTGATGTTAGCACCTGGAGGGTGGTTAGCTGCAGTCACAGTTTGTGAATAATTGTAATTTGATTTTTCGCAGTTAGTCTGCGGCGGCACCGCCAAATGGGCAGTAACGCTTAAGATAAGACCGCCATTTGGCGGAGGACTTGACTGTGGCAACCCTGGTATGCAGGGAGAAAAACATTTCTTCCCTCGCAGTCTGCTTTACATATGGCTTAGTGAATGTTCCTGGCGATGTGCCGTACTCTACCATTTTTGTGTTTATTATTAATTAACTAATTATTATGTAACCTTCCTTAGATATTAAATTAAACTTAAATATTATGGCTAGCTGGTGATTTCATATTATTTAACTTAAAAACTTATTTTCTTCTTTTTGGGCACGTTGTACCCCACGTGCCTCATTGGTGACCCTTAATTCTGTTCTCGCTTCTTCTGATTTTTTAATTCGATCTGTCATAATCTTTCTTTAAACGCAACAGCTATGCCTAATTTTCATAAAAATACATTATATAATGAAATTTAATCGCTATCCTCTGTTTATTTTCTTTCCATTTACTAAATATGTGCGCATGGATACACACGAGGATTATGGTTTCATCGCGGAAATTTACAGGTATGTGATCGATTATTTTTTCCTATCTGCGATTGGTCTGTAATTGCGTTATGCTATTTCTATTTTATTATTAATATTTATTGCTTCAATTTTTGGTTATTTATGCATTATTAAAATTTCGCCTAACCTATTTGGTTTCAATCCGACAACGGATTATTAAGCTACTTTTAAATTTCTATTATGATTCAATGATATTATTTAAAGCATTATAAATTTCTCGACAGTAAGGCATAATTTAGGTGTTTTCGGTTATCAATTTATGTTTATATTTCTTAAAAAATGCCCGGATCGGAAGACCAGACAAATACCGACTGTAACGTACCGACTACAGAGTCTCAAGTGTCGCATGTTGCGGTGAAAATTCCGCCGTTGTGGAAAAATAATGTTAAACTTTGGTTTATTCAAGTAGAAAGTAATTTCGCCCTTGCTAAAATTACCAGTGATATCACTAAGTACAATCATCTCATTTCTTCTATTGATCCTGAAACGTTATCGGCTGTTTCCGACATTTTATTTAACCCTCCCGCATTAGATAAGTACGCGGCCTTAAAAGCCANTTTACTGGAAAATTCCGAAGTTTTGCAATTGAAAAAAATTACCTTACCACATTGTGATTTACCTATTTACTGCGACTTATCAACAGGTACAGCGCGTCCTTTTATATCACAACCTTTTCGCGAGAAAATATTTGTTTCTCTGCATAATTTGTCTCATCCCGGAATTCGTGCGACTTCTAATCTAATATGTTCTCGGTTTGTTTGGCCTTCCATCCGAAAAGATTGCGTGAACTGGGCTCGGCAATGTATTCCTTGCCAAAAGTCCAAGACAACGCGACACACTAAAACACCGTTAGGGAAATTTTCAGACCAGTCGCAGAGGTTCGATCACGTCCATCTCGACCTCGTTGGCCCTCTTCCTCCTTCTCAGGGTAATTACTATTGTTTAACAATGATAGATCGATATACAAGATGGCCTGAGGCGGTACCCATACCAGATATAACAGCTAATACCATAGCGCAGACTTTTTATAACCAATGGATAACGAGATTTGGATGTCCAACTGTTATTACAACAGACCAAGGACGGCAATTCGAAAGCGGACTGTTTCGTGAACTTTCACAGCTGTTGGGAATAAAGAAAATTCGAACTTCTCCCTACCACCCACAATCCAATGGACTTATTGAAGGATTTCATCGTCCGTTAAAAGCAAGCTTAAAAGCCTACGACACTGACCAATGGGCATCCGCCCTTCCAACAATATTACTGGGTTTTCGCTCGGTGTTCAAGGAGGACATTGAAGCGACAACTGCTGAGCTCGTCTATGGAAAGAGCATACGCCTTCCAGGTGAATTCCTTGATCCCACTCCTGCAGAGTCTTCGCCCAAGCAACTCCTGGAGGATCTCAGACGACACTTTGCCAGCGTACGCCCGGTACCAACTTCCAGTCATGGTCGGCGGACTACGTTTATTCACCCAGGACTCAGAGTAACTTCTCATGTGTTTGTGCGTCATGACGGGGTCAGGAAACCCCTCCAAGCGCCATATGACGGACCGTTCGAAGTTCTTAAACGACATGAAAAAACTTTTGAGCTGCAAGTTAAAGGGAAAAGACAGACAATCTCGATTGACAGGCTCAAACCAGCATTTTTGGCTGAAACACCTAAAGTTTTAACAAGTTCCAGTGCTAAAACGGACAAACAAACAACCCGTTGTGGTCGGGTGGTGCAAACCCCCCGACGTTACGTCACCTTTCGCTGACACTGCAGGGGGAGTGTGCGGCGGCACCGCCAAATGGGCAGTAACGCTTAAGATAAGACCGCCATTTGGCGGAGGACTTGACTGTGGCAACCCTGGTATGCAGGGAGAAAAACATTTCTTCCCTCGCAGTCTGCTTTACATATGGCTTAGTGAATGTCGCTGGCAATGTGCCGTACTCTACCATTTTTGTATTTATTATTAATTAACTAATTATTATGTAACCTTCTTTAGATATTAAATTAAACTTAAATATTATGGCTAGCTGGTGATTTCATATTATTTAATTTAAAAATTTATTTTCTTCTTTTTGGGCACGTTGTACCCCACGTGCCTCAAGTCTATTCACTTCAAGTCCCATTTTAGGGAGTTTAACTTCCACTTCTTGCTGTTTCTATAAATATCGCCCATTTTTTTGAGCGGGCGCATTCGAATTAACTTCCGTATTAATACTCTACGATCCCTTAACAGGGATTTTTCATTTTTCCCCCTCCTCTCTTTGAGAGACGGAGTTTCTTTTTTAATTTTTGCAAGTGGCGTTCTTGTTCCGCCATTGCAGCTACATCGACATGTTGGCGATACGATCCTTTATTCTTTCTGTACCGAGGAGTTTTTCAAGGACTCAAAGTTGATTATTTTGGAACCACCTGATCTTCCTGATGAAACATGACATATCCAATTCATTCTTCTTTAATATTTAGTGCTGTCACCCCCCACAGCCTTTTCGAATTTTTAAGCTGTCTCCAGTTCCTCCCACCGGACTTAGTAATGAAAGAAGGCCTGGCCAGTGTGGAATGCTGTCCGGGGTGTTCATCCCTGTTCTGTAGAATCCCCTGATGCTCAACAAAAAATAAAGAAAATCCTTTTTTAGTGAACTGTAAAGTGTGTTTTTTTTTTCTTCTGCTCAATACAGACTCTGTGCGAATTTGGATTTCTCTTTCCCTTTAGGAGTACCTCCATTTTATTGTGATTGTGCTTACCCACAGGTATGTTTTCTTATCTCTATAATTTCATGTAGTTTTTTTAAGTTTACAAGTGTTGTTGCGGCACTTCATGTCTGCCACTATAGTAAATGAGATCATGAGCCATCATAAATGTTTTAAAAACCATATACTTTTCTCTTAAATTTTTGATTTATTAATTTATTTTATACTTTTTAATCTCTTTTCCCAACCTAACACTATGAATTGTTCATAGATTTTTTAGATCATCACATTGCAAAGCAAAACTTCAGATTTTTTGAAAAGACCATATATTGTGACACCGCAGGATTCAACGAAATTTTTACTCTTGAAAACTTAAGAGAAGACATAAACCTCAGGCCGATTGCAGCTCATTTTTGTAGTGACATAATTTTAACTAAAATACAAAATATTTAATTTCCTTTTATTCCAATTACCAGAAAGAACCACCTTAAAGGTTAAATACAAGATGAATGAGAAAAAGGCCGCTAACGGCCCCAGGCGCCCAGTTATATTTCGATGATGATGATGAATATGAATTGTTAGAAATACACTAAACGTTTTGTCACCCTACAAAAATTGTACTGGTGGTCTGTTAGCTATGTGACAAAGGTGAGTGATTAGTTATGAAATATATATTTATTATAATAACATCAAGTTTAATATTATAATAACGTAGTAAAACTAATTTGAGAATCATTATTAGTACTGATGTAATAAAATTTAAATAAATTTATATATAAAATCAGGTACATTTAACGTCTT